CAGGCTGACGCCGCTAGCACCGCGTGAGCAAGGCCCCGACGGACCGCGGCGGCAGCGAACAGAGAGCATCGGGTACAGACTATGTTCCGTTCCCAATTAATTAAATTTTGGGTTTTATGTTGATGAACTATGTAATAAAAACCATATGATATAATCCTGAAAGTGGAAGAGTTGGCACCTACCGAAGGGGTCTTCCCCACATCGAATCAATGACAAAATAGCTGTATTGAGATTAAGTATTTTTTTTGTTTATCTGTTTCGGATTTATTTGACATGAGTTCGATATTATTTTAGAGAATTGCATATTCGCAATTATGTGTGGTAGAAGTAGAAGCTCAAATTAAGTTATGATATAAGCAAAAATAAATTTGTCTAACTAAATCTTCTCTCCCCCTCACCAAAAACTGAATTTTGGTAGCCAAAATTTTGGTCTGTTGTTGGAGATGCTCCAAGAAACTAAAACGGTTGTACGGCAAATTTGTCTGTGAAGCAACTATCATGACCTGGCTTATATCATAAGAAATCAGAAGCTTGGTAGTTTTAGCGAACTTAGAGTAAGAACCGTCAACATCTCAAGTACACTTATTTTTCTGGTGTATGATAGAGATTGGAACAACTTGATTGGAATGGGTTCACCTAATGAGAACGACATTTCATTTTGACTCAGTATTATGCTTCTGTATTGACTTATTACTAGGGAAAAAAGGATCAAATTGTTTTCTTTTGAGCAAGTATCTCACCCAGGACCCCAAAGAAGTATCAATGGATGCAAAAAACTGTAAATAAAGTTATGTGTCCCTTCCATTGCCATACATACGTATTTTCCCAAGTTTGCTAGAGTTATTTTTTTTTACAAAAGCTAGAGTTAATAGTGAGTTAGATTTTTGTAACTCTGTCTCCTTGCTGTGTACTGACATGCTTGTGTGGCTCCTCTTCTTGTAAGGAATCATGATTGTTAAGGGATTTATTGTCTTACTTTTGTAGATGTACCATTCCACTGAAATTTAGTGTGCCAGACTGGTTCAAGCCCTTCTTGGAAGACACGGTTTAATTCATCAGCTTATGCTTACAATTCTGATCGAATAAGCCATGTCCATATATTTATGGAATTCTCTACCAGTCTATCGTCAAAATAGACGGGCGCAGCAACGCGCGCCATCAGGATCTAGTAAGAAATCAGAAACTAGGCAGTTTTAGCGAACTTAGAGTAAGAACCGTCAACATCTCAAGTACACTTATTTTTCTGGTGTATGATAGAGATTGGAACAACTTGATTGGAATGGGTTCACCTAATGAGAACGACATTTCATTTTGACTCAGTATTATGCTTCTGTATTGACTTATTACTAGGGAAAAAAGGATCAAATTGTTTTCTTTTGAGCAAGTATCTCACCCAGGACCCCAAAGAAGTATCAATGGATGCAAAAAACTGTAAATAAAGTTATGTGTCCCTTCCATTGCCATACATACGTATTTTCCCAAGTTTGCTAGAGTTATTTTTTTTTTACAAAAGCTAGAGTTAATAGTGAGTTAGATTTTTGTAACTCTGTCTCCTTGCTGTGTACTGACATGCTTGTGTGGCTCCTCTTCTTGTAAGGAATCATGATTGTTAAGGGATTTATTGTCTTACTTTTGTAGATGTACCATTCCACTGAAATTTAGTGTGCCAGACTGGTTCAAGCCCTTCTTGGAAGACACGGTTTAATTCATCAGCTTATGCTTACAATTCTGATCGAATAAGCCATGTCCATATATTTATGGAATTCTCTACCAGTCTATCGTCAAAATAGACGGGCGCAGCAACGCGCGCCATCAGGATCTAGTAAGAAATCAGAAACTAGGCAGTTTTAGCGAACTTAGAGTATGAACCGTCAACATCTCAAGTACACTGATTTTTCTGGTGTATGATAGAGATTGGAACAACTTGATTGGAATGGGTTCACCTAATGAGAACGACATTTCATTTTGACTCAGTATTATGCTTCTGTATTGACTTATTACTAGGGAAAAAAGGATCAAATTGTTTTCTTTTGAGCAAGTATCTCACCCAGGACCCCAAAGAAGTATCAATGGATGCAAAAAACTGTAAATAAAGTTATGTGTCCCTTCCATTGCCATACATACGTATTTTCCCAAGTTTGCTAGAGTTATTTTTTTTACAAAAGCTAGAGTTAATAGTGAGTTAGATTTTTGTAACTCTGTCTCCTTGCTGTGTACTGACATGCTTGTGTGGCTCCTCTTCTTGTAAGGAATCATGATTGTTAAGGGATTTATTGTCTTACTTTTGTAGATGTACCATTCCACTGAAATTTAGTGTGCCAGACTGGTTCAAGCCCTTCTTGGAAGACACGGTTTAATTCATCAGCTTATGCTTACAATTCTGATCGAATAAGCCATGTCCATATATTTATGGAATTCTCTACCAGTCTATCGTCAAAATAGACGGGCGCAGCAACGCGCGCCATCAGGATCTAGTAAGAAATCAGAAACTAGGCAGTTTTAGCGAACTTAGAGTATGAACCGTCAACATCTCAAGTACACTTATTTTTCTGGTGTATGATAGAGATTGGAACAACTTGATTGGAATGGGTTCACCTAATGAGAACGACATTTCATTTTGACTCAGTATTATGCTTCTGTATTGACTTATTACTAGGGAAAAAAGGATCAAATTGTTTTCTTTTGAGCAAGTATCTCACCCAGGACCCCGCAAAAAAAAAGTATCTCACCCAGGAGTATTATTGCTGGGACATAGACCTAATAATACCTTGAAAAAAATGTTTGATTTATCATGTTTAACATTACTGTAATAAAATCTAATGCGGCGACCGAGTGTAAGAAGACATACCAACGAGCGGCACGATATTTCGGTGGCGCAGGCGGTTGATCACGTCGACCTCTGCGAGGAAGTCGTCGTAGCACTTGTCTCGATTACGTGTGAACTTCTTCACCGCTACCTCCACCAGCTGGCATGTCTTGCCTGACCGGAGACGGAGCGTTCCCCTGTACACTGCGCCGAACCCGCCTCTGCCTAGCTTCCTTGCCTCGTCGTAGTTGTTGGTGGCCTTCCTGATCGTCGCGTACTTGAACTCCTTGGGCGTGCCCGGAAGCCGCCGAAGGGCCTCCGACAGCTTCAGCTCCATCTTCAGGGCCTTGTACCTCAAGTAGAAGTAGAAGACCGCGACAGATATGATGACGACGGTGGCGGCCGCTGACCCAAGAACAGCGGACAGTACCATCTTCCGTTGTCGGACGGCTCGGTGATCGGGAAGCTTTTCGACTGTCAAGTTCCAGCTCAGGATACTATGGAGCTCGTGGCCTTCCCCCGTCGACGCCGTGAAACCGATGTATGCTCGCTGGGGGACGTGGCTGCTCATGTTGAGGGGCGCGTCAAGGTAGGCCTTGTCAGGCTTGGGCAGACCATTGACGGCCACGTACACCCATATGTGGTGTCCGAATCCGTTGTAGTCGATCCACACGGTGTAATCCACCGTCTCCATCAGCGGCGCGAGGGTGATGTTGTCGGGCTGCGGGAGCGAGGACAGCGAGACGACTACGTCAGAGACGACGCTGCCGATGTCAGAGGCCGATGTGCTTGTCATCGGGATCGTACTCGTTCTTGGAGGTGTCGAACTCGATGGCGACGAATCTGCCCGAGGCAGCGGCGGACTTTGAGATGATGTTGGTGAGACCGAGGAAACCACCATGGCTGCCGGGCGGAGGGCCGTCCAGGGAGGGGACGATGACGAAAGCAAGACCGTCGCCTTGTTTTAGCCTCTCCGCTCTGTAGAGGTTCATGGTGAAGGAGGTGTTGAAGGACGCGTCGTGCTTCACCCCGTTGGAGTCGACGCCCCAGAGCGTGATGGGTGATGGGAGGAGCACCGAACCTGCTCTGCCCTCCATCCCGATTGTGAGCACGAGGGCTCCCATTGTCATACATGCGTCCCCGAGAATCGCCAATTTGTTTGCGCTATCACGGGGGAAGGAAGGGAAGCTGTAGGAGATGATGTCGTCCCTCTTATTCTCTTCACAGGTGCACGATGCCGCCCTGGAGCCGCAGAGCACAGCAACACGGCCATGGCGAAACATGCAGGATATGCGAATACTTTTGTGGGCATCTTGCGGAAGCCAGGAGCCTAGAACAGGACCGTGGTATGAGACAGATATATATCACACTAATGCAAAAATGCTTAGGCACAGGTCTCCCGCGGTCACGGCCGCTAGCTCTTCAAATAGGCTGGGACCCTATCCTCCCTTTGGAAGAAGAAAAATCCTTTTGTACTCCTACTAGGAGAACTAGTGGCAAGGGATTAAATCAAAATCAGGCAAGAGCAACTGATTGATACTACTCCCTCCGTTCCTAAATATTTGTTTTTAAGAGATTTCAATGGACCACCATATACGGATGTATATAGACATATTTTAGAATGTAGGTTCACTCATTTTACTCCGTATGTAGTCACTTGTTGAAATCTCTAAAAAAACAAATATTTAGAAACGGAGGGAGTATATGAGAACTAGTGCCAATGATGCTTTTATATTATGGAACGAAGGGAGTAGCACATAATGATTTATATGGCATTTGATAGGGTCAACTGAACCCAAGATATACTGCCGACTCTACCCACTTTGCTTGTTCGACAATTTTTCCAAGTGATTTCTTATATATTCTTCCATCCAATTAGACCGTTTCTATTACATTTTTTCCCTGATGGAACCGCCTCTATCATTTGACAAATCGCAGTATGATATTAATTGCTAGCGCGAAAGCATACATTAAACCCACACTAACGACACATCATCGGTTCTTATCTTTTGATTCCAATCCCCTGAGCCCTGATTTTTATACTTATTCCTAAAATTTCTCGGTTATTCGATATAGAAGATGGAAAATGCTCGAGTCTAGGAGTGATTTTGTTTGAGCTTCTGCACTTTTAGGTCAAAAAAAAATATGAACCCAAATAAACACCGAACAATTGAAAAAAGTACTTCTTCCAATTGCACTAGGGAGTTGGAAGCATCGAAAAGGCGCTTCTAGAGTTTATATGGACGAGTATGCTCATAAATCGTGTTATCTAGGAAGAAAACACCACTCAAATTCTTAAATTCACTAAGCTCACAGGAGTAGGGCGAAGGGCCCATGAGAAAGGTATGGCTTTGGTTTTCCATCAGTAATACGTGTTGATTTTAAAATATTCCATGCTAGCATTTGTAAATTTGCAAACTGTTAAATTTGTAGAGAAAGTGTACTTCTCCGTCAAATCTTAGGAATTACAGAACACTTGGACCCACCTGGGTTTCTAAATGAAACATGTCCATCAGTACACAACCGATAGATAGTGGGCTACCATCTGAATGAGCTGAAATTGAGTTCTTCAGCCATCAGTCCCGGAAATCGGCTATAAGACAGAAAATGAATACCTGCATCGGTTTGTTTGTTTCTGAAGGGAAATGCATCCTGCATCACTACTGCCCGGCACAACGGCACTGCAATGCAATTATTACGACTTTACGAGCCTCTTTGGCGAACAGGTCTTCCACATAAATGTTACAGAGATTTTTCAGAATACAGTTTATTATTGCAGTGAACCATAGCATTGCCATGTCTAAGGTAGCAATATCATAATGTCATGTGTCATGCTCAGGACGGAGGAGGGCATAGCAACTGTTTATTAAAATGGCATGACTCTGCCAAAGCAGTGATACAATGTATATAGTCTCACACCTGTCCGATCTCTAGGCTAGCAATTTTTCTACCAGTAATATGTGTAGATTTTACAATATTTCATCTAAGCATTTGTAAATTTGCAAAATATTACATTTGTAGACAAAGTGTACTACGTCTGTCAAAACTTAGATAATCAGCTACATCAATTTCGCCAGGCTGAGGGTTGTCTTCCTTTTTTTTAACATCAACTTTGCCTTGCGAAAAACAGTTAATTTGATTACCTCGCCAAACAGACATTATAGCTTCTTTGGTGAACATTTTGCAGAATATGTTCATTTATTGCTGTAAGTCATGACATTGACATGTCTAGCAATATCATAATGTCATGTGTCATACTCAGCAGGACATACGAGGGGATAGCGATTATTTATTAAGAACACACGACTTTGTCAAAGTGGAAACGCGATGCATAGTTGCATCGCTTCACACCTACCCGATGTTGAAAGATCGGAAGGAAAAATATGATAAACTTTCATTGGAAGCCCTATATAATAGTGGTGGTCTAGTTGGATGGAACAACAAATCCAACCAGACTTTTTCCCGGACAATCAACGGGGGTGCAGCCAGCCCACTTGTATTTTCTTATTGTGTTCAGTTGACAATACCGAAAGCTTGCACAACATTACACAAATCATTAGATTTAGGACAACGCTAACGCCCACACGTGTAGTGGGAGCCAAACCCGCCCACACGCCCTATAACACACATACTACGTCATGTCATCGCATGCATGCATGTGGAAATCTTTTTTGATTTTCAATTTTTAATATGTTTTATCTCTTAAATGAAAAATTTGATTGAAGATCCATTTTCACCATTAAATTCCTCGCGACGAGATCTTTGAAACTAGATCTCATATCAATATATTTCAACGAATTTTTTTTTGGTTAAAAGTTGTTATGTCTATTGCACATGAATTGCCATGATGTTTACACTAAAGTTGCCATGTTATGTTTCAGCTATTTTTTTCTATATTAAAAAGTAAATTTTGACATATTATAAAACGGAGAATTAAAAAACTAGACTTGCTATGCACCATAAACTAAAATTGACATGATACATGCACTTAAAATTGCCATGGTTCATGCAAAAAAATAATTTCATGGTCAAAATACTGGAATTGCCATCATCAAAAACTAAAATTGCCATGATCTACAAACTAAAATTGCCACATGACAATTTTAGTGTAAACACCAAGGCAACTACAGTGTAAACATCATGACAACTTTTGGACAAAAAATTTTTTGTCGAAACATATCAACATGGGGTCTAGTTTTGAAGATCTCGTCGAGACGGATTTAATGGTGAAAACGGATTTTTAATTCGCTTTTTTAATTAGAAGATAAAATATTTTTAAGCAGAAAACCAAAAAGATTTCTGCTGATGTCATCTGTTCATACGTGGCAAAATGAGTGGTGATGGAGGCGTGTGGGCGATGTGCAAACGCCCACACGTGTGGACGTTAGTTTTTCCGTAGATTTAATGCTCATTACAAATTTTTCTGAGCAACCTTAATTCTCATTAGAGCATCTTCAACAGATGATGCAAATAGGGCAAGTGCCCAATTTACTATTTTTAGAGCATCTCCATCAGATGATGTATTTGCAAATGGTGCTGCAAAAAATAGGGCAGCCTCATATTTTGGCCCAAACTGTCGTATATTTGCAGCAGCCACACGACTATCGCAAATACTCCTGCAACCACAACCTCTAACGCCGGCGGCGCCCCTAACTGGCTGACTCTGGCCACCACCACCACCACTGGCTCACCGCCCTGTGCCGCATCCACGCCACCTTCATC